CAGATGCTGGCAGCACTGATTTGGCCTGGCTGTCCCCAGGGGTGACCCAATGCTCCCAGAGAAGGCAAACAAACCTGTACAGACAGCACTTGGCTCCCCAGGCACAAGCTGGCTCTGACCCAGCCACTCAGCCATACCCCATCTGGGCTTCCCTCAGTTTGGACACAGTGTTCCAGCTGTCTGGCCAGCCATTGGTGGTCCCAGAGCCTCTGGGCCATGACTCCTGTACCCTCCTGGGATGGGGATGAAAGCTTAGAGTGCTCATCAGGCCAGGAATCCTACGGACTTTGTACAAAACTGACTTAAGTTATTGATTTTTGTAATAAAAGTTGTGACACACTTGGAGCCTGACACTGTAGTTTGTGCATGAGGAAGGGACCATCTCTTACCTCCAGGACCCACCCTGTCCCTATCAGAGGGAGCCTGAGAGGAAGGAACCATAAGGGGTGCAGGAGCCAGGCCTCGGGAAACTGGGATATTAATTTTTCAGAATGGCATAATGATTTCATTTCTGGGGATGAGATTTATTTTGTACAGGTCTGAATCCAGGGGACAGTATCAGTTCAGGACCCCCTCACCTCCTTGCCTTTATCTTTGGGGACAGGCTGTGTCTCTCCCTGCCCCTAAATCCCCCACTGACCTCTCCTTCAGCTCCTGCCCCGGGCTCCCTCTCAGTGAGAGTCGGGTCACAGTCAGTAAGGAAAATTAAACAGCCCATTCCCAAATTGAAATAGACAAGGTCATTGGAATTTCTGCAGTTTGGGATCATTCACTTCCCCCATTCCTGCAGCCCACAGAAGAGGATGGTCTATTGTTCTCCCAACGGGAGGGGGCAAGGGACCCAGGGCAGCCACTTGGAGGCTAAGCCAGGCCCAGTTTCAGCTGCTACACCAGCTGGTAAAGTCTGAAACATCTTCATGAGAGTTGGTTGACAGCCACTGCCCTGAGCTCCCCAGAGCTCCCTCCCACTGCCCCTCTGTCGCAGCCCTTCTCCCGGAATCCATTCCTATTGTCCAGCAACTAGAGAGGTGATGCCAAGCACTCCAGGGCTGCTCCATTCAGTGCCTGGCTTGTGTCTGTTCTGATTGGTTGATGTCTCTGCCTCACCGTTTGTTAAATATTCTGAATATCCCCCAGGTCAGGGTGACTCAGCTGCAGGGTAGGCAGGAGGGAATGATAACAACACACGTGCCTCCAGGACCCCCTTTTAGGCCTCCTCCTTTCTCTAGCAATAAAGCCATCCGACCAGGCCCCACCCCCTTCATCACCACAGTTTGGATTCTTCTCACGGGGGCCAAGTTAATTATTGCTCAATGAGAGGTCATTCACTCAGGGACAACAGTCTAGGAGACATCATTCAGGCCTCTCTCCAAGGCCCCCAGGATAGGGACCACAGTTGAAATGGACAGGTACCCATTATGGGACCCAGTGCTAGCAGCAAGGGCACCCCATTCCCTTACCCAATCACCCACTCACCACTCAGACATCCAGAATGAGACAGAAACACACAGCTCGGACCCCATAACAAAGACACATGCAACTCAGACCTACCACTCTCTCATACACACACTAAAACATACAACTCAGACACACCTACACACAGACTCATAAAACAGACCCTCCATCCACCCACACACGGCACAGAAATGAACAGCCCAGATACTCTCACTCAGTGACATACAGTGAACCCAAACACACACAACAGAGACACACACCCAAGCCGATGTTCACATAGACTTCCCTGTGCCCAAGGGGACACCCTCACACCAGGGCATGTTTTCCATCTTCTGTATGTCACAGTAAAAGGAAAAGTGGCCTCCTGAGTAGGTAGATCTGTGTCTGCACATCTTCAGGGTCTACGCAGAGCCTGCAAATCCAGGCCAAACTGCACTGCCTGGTATTTGAGGTCTCAGCTAACCAGTCACCCTCTTTCCCCATGGTGACCCCAATATCTACCCTCCTCTCAGACAGGCCATGCTCTGCTCACCAAATCCCCCCATCCGGGATCTAATCAAACCCCTAAATAGAAGCATCCTTTAGAGCCCAGAATAAGCCTTGCATCCCTCCACTCCCTCACTCCCCACCAAAACCCCCAGCACCAGACCACCTCAGGCCCCCAGGCACCTCTCCGTGCCCTGCCCTTCCCAGCACCTTGGCACACACCGTCCCATCTCGCCTTGCAGACGTATGAGGTAACTCTTTCAAGAGCAGACACCTTATCTCCCCGTAGGAGCCAAATCCAGCAGACTCAGAGATTTCAGGTCATTCTATCTTTTATGTCCCTTCACTAACTGCCCCCATTAGTTTACCCTTCACCTCTCTGAACCCTCAGACAGAGTCTTCCTGCCTCTCACCCCTCCTCTCCTCCAACCCTGAACAGCCATTAGAAAGGCTCCTCTCCACTACCCACCCCAGCCTTTTCCCTCAACTTATCTAATGTTTCTATCATCCACATAGCTTCCCTTATCAGCCCTACCTTGCTCCCTTGCAAATTTCTTCCCTACCCCTCCCCCTGGTCCGGGACTACACTTCTGTCTCTTTCTCATCTGTATCTCTTGCATCATTCTCTGTGCCCTACCCAAGCCTTCTTCAAGGAACATAAAGACAAATCTAGCAAAACTAAAGAGAATTAGAGTACAACGTAGTTAGGGCAATAATGTTTTCTCCATGAGAGTTCAGGCTTTCCAAAGGGGGGGTATTATGTCTCCATTATCAGAATCTTAGGAATGGGACCTGTGTCTCATCAGCCAGAGGTGGTAAGAGGAGGAAACTGGCTCAGACAGGGTATGCAATTTACTCAAGGTCTGGACTGATCACTATCTGTGCTAGGATTTGAACTCAGGCCCATGTGACTGTGAAGGCTGAACTCTCACCACCAGCACAGGCTGGAGTGAGTCATGGCCAGGATCAGGCTGTCTGGAGCCAGCTCAGCCACTATTTACTGACCATCTACCTCTCAGCCATGATCCCTGTCCTCAGGCCTAGCCTGGGTGACTCACTAGAAAGCAAGAAAATGGCTATGGCTCTGGGTCAGCCTCGGGTACCATTTTATCATCATCATTATCTCTACCCTCATTAGCCAAATCACTGATTGCTTATTAAGCAGTCAGGCCACTGACATGTGCTGTGCTCTGTGCTGACACACCCTGCCCTTGAGGCAGTCACGTATCCTAGAATCTATGATGCTGGCAAAAAGCCGTCACCCACCATCCACCGTTCCATTCATGCCCCCATTCAACATCTCTCTTGACGTCCACTTGTACCAGACACTGTGCTGGATGCCAAGGGGCACATAACAAATAAGATACTGTCCCTGCCTTCATCGAACATCCTGTCTGTATAAGAGAAAGAGACACATAGATAATTGTAACACAGAGTGATCTGAACCATGATAGACGGACGTACAACAGGCAGCAGGGGCTCAGAAGATGAAGTGATTAAATCTGGCTGAGGGTGGGAAAAATGCTTCAGCCAAGTGGTGACTGCTTTGAGAATGCTAAAGAGACTGCTAAAGAGAATGAATAGGGGTTTGCCAGGCAAACCAAGGGATGGGCATTCCAGACAGAAGGACTGATGGATGCAAAGGCACAGGGGTGTCAGAGAGCAAGGGTGTTTAACTGCAAGTGGTCTGGGGCAACTGGGGCCCAGGTCAGCAAGAGATGGGCCTAGAGAGGTAGACAGGGACCACGTCACAGAACAAGACAGCAGAGAAAGGCAATCCCAGTGAAACTGGTGGAGGCGACAAGGCTAAGGTCTCAAGGGAATCAGAGTGAATAAAAGGGACCACCCATTCCTGGCTGGTCATTCTGGGTACTGCTAAACAATAACCAGTTAACATTTATTGAAAGCTGTGCTGTAAACACTGTACATGAATTATGCCATTTAATTCTCACAACAACTCTGTGCTGGAAGTATTACCATTATCTCCATTTTATAGATGAAGAAACCAAAGCACAGAGAGTTAAGTAACTTGCTTAAGGTTACACAGTTAATAAGCAGTAGAGTCAGGATTTGAACTCAGGTGGTCCGAATTTAGGGCCTACACTGTTAAATACTATGCTCTCTTGAGTCTTTAAAGGTCGGGGACAATAAACGGGAGAATAATCACAACACCTACATTACTTCTCCTCCCCAACCCATTGTAAGGTAGAAGTAGAGTGAAAATGGAGTCTTGGTTACCTTTGGGTTCAAGTTTTTGATGAGAAATCTGGCCTGTGTGTTCCCCCAGGGAAGTGGCCCCACTTTCCCTTGAGAGAGTTCCAGCCACATGCCAGCACCTTATCCCCATGTTAGTGCCAGGAATAGTCATCCCATCAATGACAATTTACTGAGAGTCTACTACAGATCACACATCATGAAGGTTCTGGTAATTTAGTCCCACAAATGGCAATTGTGTCCCATCATAAGTGCATAACTTCTTGGGTCATCTAACAGCTTTTCCAGAGCACATCATCTGTATTTTGGTCCACATTGTTTGCTCTAAAGCACTTATTTTTCAATTTTCAGATTTTTAAAAATATAGTCTTAACTAACCCTTTTGCATATGTTGTACAGAGAAGTACACAAATCATACATGTACAGCTCAATGAATTATCACAAAATGAATACATCCCTGTAACCACCACCCTACTCAAGAAATAGAGCATTAACAACACCCCAGAAACCCTCCTCATCACTACCCTCTCCCTCCTTCCCAAAAGGCACCACTGCCTCTGGTTTCCAACATCATAAATGAGATTGCTTGTCAAACTTTGTATAAATGGAATCATAGAGCATGTACAGTTTTGTGTTTGTCTTCTTTCACTTAATACTATTGAGACAGGGGTCTTGGTGGGTTAGGTGGGGCCCTAGGTGAGACAAGTCTGCACATACAGGAAGCCACATCCACCTGAAGTCGGCCACACATCCTGTAACTTAGGGCAAGTCAGTAGCCCACCCATGCCTGCTGCAAACTACTCGGTTTGTAGAGGGACCACAAACTGAGCATGCAGTTCCAGAACCAGTCAACCAGCTGATCACATCCTGAGGTCCAATCCCCAGCTTCGACCACTTCCCTTCGAGGTCCCATAAAAAGTCCCCTTCAACCCAGCTCAAGGCTGCTTTCTCTACTTTCTGAGACAGCCCAGGCTCTCTGCAGCCTGTCCCTTTCCCTTACCTAAGTCTTGCTTAATTGCTTAATAAAACTGTTTTGCACTTTATTCTGTGGCTCTCACCTAAATTCATTCCTGCGGGTGCCCAAGGAACCACTTTCTTAGCCAGGGGCCGCAGGTGAGGTACCTGGCCCGGCGACATCTTTCTGGTGACCCAGATGGGACCTCATCATGGGGACCTCAGAGATAACTCATCACCCTCAGAGAAAAAAAAATCTCTAGAAGTCTGCCAGCAGCATAGTTCGGTCTACTTTTGGTTCAACGACGGGTGAGTGAGCCTCTTCTGGAGTCCCTCAGCACTTTCCCGCTATACTTTCCCTCCGTTTTCCTTTGTCTCACTTCTTGGTTGGGAGGGAGGGATTACTTCACCCTTCCAACCCCGGCCTGGGGTGACGATCCCTACTCGGTCAGGTTTTCTTGCTCCCGAAAGGGCCACATGTGCCTTTGGGAAAACTAACCTACTTGCAGAGAGGATCCAGGATCTCCCTGTGACCACACCCCCCGGGCAGGGCAGAGTCCCTTTGGGATAGGACAGTGTAAAGTCTTTTCATCTCTCTCTCTGGATCTCTCTTTCCCACGTTTTGTCTATCCTTTCCAGTCACGTCCACTGAAACAGAGCCACTGCCAATGGGACTTAACCGATCGTCGCCTGGGTGACCCGGATGGCAGCGGTGTACAGGCAACCCTGGAGAGAGGCGGCGACCACTAACTAACCTCTGTCTCTGTCTCTCTCCTTCTCCCCTATTTCCTTTCCTGGTCTGATAAAAGGACAAAAGCTGCAAACAGGGTGGGCACAGGTCAAGCAGTTAAAGGCCACCTAAAAGGGTGCTCGCCACCTAAAAGAAGTCACCTGTGACAGAATAAGCTGGTCACAGGATGGGGTTAGGTTTTAGCCCCTGCCAGCCACAAGAAAACTTTCACGCCACGAGCAGGAACCCAGTAAAGCACACACATTCCCATCCTGCAGCAGCTTCTCTTTTTTGGCATATAGATCACCCACAATCAGGCCTCCTTACACCTCTCCCTCTTTGACACCCTGGGCATCTGTTGGGCTCTCCAACTAGGGCAAACTCCGGGATTGCTCCAAGCTGTTCTCCAGCTCAGCCCTCCCTGTGTTCTCTGCCACTCATTTCCTTATTTTCTCTGCAACAGTGCTTACGCCCGCTGCCCAGGTCTTGCCTGTCCTGAGGTATATGCCTTCTGCTACCTGAGCCAACCCCATTAATATCGGCCTCTCAGTGGTTTACTCCAGCACTGCTTAAGAAGAGGTTGGAGTAATCGGGACTTGGAAAATCTGTTTCTTTCTTATTACCACCACCTCCTGCATACCTAGTGCACACATCCAGGCCTGGGACTTTCAACAAGTGGTAAAACTAATTCGCTCTGCTCATCTTAAGGGACATTCTCTTCCTTCTCTCCTTGACACACACTCTGCCTGGGAACAAGGGTCCTTTTTCCTCCAGTCCCTGGCGCCACACTATGCTAACCCTGAGCCGCTTCTCCCATACCCGGATCTCTCTGATCTCCAGTGTCCACAGGGACATCACTGCTGCCTTTGCCAAAACAGCAGCTGTCTCAAGACACCTCGCAATTCTCCTACCAAATTCTCTTGCTTACTGAAACACCTCTTCAGCCAGATCAGACATCCTGACATCTGAGTTTTTCACAGATCCAGCCAACTCTTTCTCATCCACACCTACCTCCAGTCTTTCCAACTAAAAGCCCCTTTCACCCTTCAGGAGTGGGCTCACCTCTCCCTCCCGTGCCACCAAGATCAGAAAGGGGGCTGGCAGTGGGAACGGGAACCGGGACACCAATAGGAGCCTATAGAACCCCTGTCTCCTCTGGACACCCTAACCAAACAAGGGGGCCACCGAGAGCATCCCAAGGGACTCCCCACTGAGGTGTCTCTTGGGTCACTGGGACCAATTTAAAGCAGATGGTCTAACAAAAAGAAAACTCATATTTTTCTGTAAGACAGCAGGGCCCCAATGTAAGTTGGGGGACTGGGAGTTCTGACCCCTAAATGGCTTCCTAAGCTATAATACCATTCTACAATTGGATCTCCTCTGTAAGAAACAAGGAAAATGGAATGAGATCCCATTTGTACAAGCCTTCATGGCCCTCTACCAAAACCTTGGATTGAGGGCCACATCCCCGGTATGTGTGGTCATAACTACTCCACCTGGTGAGCCAGACATACTAGATGACCCCCACCCCCAACCAGGAGGGAACCTTTGGTCCCTCTCGAGTCCCCCACATCGTCTGACTCTCGGGGGGGACCCTCACATCCCCCACCTTATAGCCCCAGTAGTGCAAGTAGTTCTGCAGGAACCACGCACAGCGGGACTACCTACAGCCTGGAGAAGGTGAAGTCCTCTCCTTGCATGAGGTCCCTAATCCCAAGGGAGAAATTACGCGGGTCCATGTGCCCTTCTCCATGGCTGACCTAACTGCCTGCTGAGACAAGCTTGGTAGATTTTCAGAGGATCCCTCCCACTTTGTTAAAGAATTTGAGGGTCTAACTCTCTCGTTCAGCCTAACCTGGGCTGACATACATGTCATCTTATCCACCTGTTGCACGGTGGAAGAAAAACAAAGAATCTGCAGATCAGCCTGGCAATATGCCGACTCACAGGCAGCCCACGGCCCTGGACATCTTGTCCACTGAGTGGGAGGTGAATCTGTTCCAGATCAGGACCCCCATTGAAATTACCAGAAAGGAAGTAGAGACCTAGAAAGGAGAAACCGCCGCATTACTTGTTTGATTGAAGAGATGAAAAGCATGTAGTGAAACCCATCAGTTATGACAGGATCCGGGAGATAACCCAAGGAAAAAACAAAAATCCCACCTGTTTCACCAGAGATTGGTAGAAGGTTTAAAGAAGTATACTAATACTGCCCCTGAGTCACCTGAAGGGAGACTCTGTTAGAGATGCATTTCATAACTCAGTCAGCCCCAGACATCAGGAGAAAATTTCAAAAAGCTGCTCTGGGACCCCAGACACCCATCAATCAGTTGATAGACATGGCCTTCGGAGTGTTTAACAATCAGGACTGGGCAGAGGAGGCAGAGAAGTCTTGGAGAACTAAATATAAGGTCCAATTGTTGGCCGCAGCTTTGGGCGCCAAGCCACGTCAGGGTTACCAGGTGAAAGACCCTAAGGCAAGGGCAGCACCAGGGAAGCCCTGGTCAGAGCCACTGCCTTGCCAGAGCTCTAAGCGAGGAAACTGTCGCCTCTGTGGACAGGAGAGACACTGAAAGCAGGAGTGTCCTCAGACTAAGTCCATGCCCACCACACCTTGTCTGCTCTGTGGACATGTGGGCCACCGGAGGAAGGACTGCCCCCAGTCCTCTCCAGGGCCGGGAACATTCCGAATCCTACTGTCTCATGAAGACGATTGATGGGGTCCAAGACCTCCTAAGGCTTCCGCTGAACGGCTCGTCATCACACCACAGGAGCCTCGGGTAACCTTTGACGTGGCAGGTAAGACTGTTTCTTTCTTATTGGGTAGGGGAGCCACCTACTCTGTCCTGACCCAAGCTCCATGTCCATTGTCCCTCGACTCTTGCCCCGTAACTGGGATAGATGGTCACATGAGACTCAGGAAATTTACTCAACCCCTTACCTGCTTCATAGGCTTATCTATGGTAGTTCACAGGCTTCTTTTCCTCCCTGAGTGCCCTACTCCCCTACTAGGAAGAGACCTCCTGTTTAAGCTGGGAAGCAACATCACGATGGGTCCACCCCAGGAGACTAACTCTTTGCTCTTGGTCCTTCATCTGAGTGCCACAGGGACACCCATCTCAATCCCTGAGCACATAGCCTCTAAAGTCAACCCATCCATCTGGGACACCGAGACCCCGTGAAGGGCCATTAATGTTTCCCCAGTAAAGATATCCTTAAAGCCCAACACCCTTTACCCTTGGAAAAAGCAATACCCTTTGAGGCCTGAGGCCCCAAAGGGAATAAAACTCCTCGTAACTAAGTTTCTGAAGTTTGGCCTGTTGAGACCATGCCAGTCTCCTTGTAACACCTCCTTCCTTCCCATACAAAAGCCCAACGGAGACTATTGGTTTGTACAAGATTTAAGGGCAGTAAATAAGGCCGTGGTCCCAATCCATCCCATTGTCCCCAACCCTTATACCCTCTTAACTCAGATTCTGGGAAATGCTTCTTGGTTTACTGTACTGGATCTTAAAGCTGCTTTCTTCTGCATCCCAGTACACTCAGACTCCCAGTACCTCTTTGTCTTCGAGTGGACTGATCCTGACACCAAGGCCACCACCCATACACCTGGACTGTACTTCCTCAGAGATTTAGAGATAGGCCCCATCTTTTTGGAAAAGCACTAGCCAAGGAGTTGCGAGACCTCCAATTGGTCAATGGGTCACTTCTCCAGTACGTGGACGACCTATTATTATCCAGCTACAGCGAAGAGGACGCTAATAATAATTCAGTCCAAGTTCTAAATTTTCTGGCGGAGTGAGGCTACCGAGCCTCTCCAACGAAAGCCCAGATCTCCTCCCAACAAGTCCAGTACCTAAGCTACACCCTCACCCCTGGATCCAGAGCCTTAATAGTAAATAGAAAAGGGGTCCTCCTCGCTTTCTAGAAGCCTCATGCAAAAAAAGAGCTTAGAGAATTCCTGGGAATGGCCGAGTTTTGTCAAATCTGGATCCCTGGGTTTAGTCTTATAACCAAGTCCCTATATGAGGCTTTAAAAGGGGATTAAAGAGAGCCCTAAACTGGGACCCCCAAGGCCAAAAGTCCTTTCAGGAACTCAAAACAAGGCTCAGCCAAGCCCCTCTCTTAGGTGGGGAATGATACAGGGATCTTGCTGGTTAGGTGGGGCCCTAGGTGAGAGAAGTCTGCACACACAGGAAGCCACAACTGCCTGAAGTTGGCCACACATCCTGTTTTTTGCAGATTGGGCCTCCTGAATCTGAAAAAGCCTCTTACGCTTCATGTGGCTAAAAAGCAAGGGGTGGCCCTGGTTGTCGTAACCCAGGGACTGGGGTCCATATCCAGGCCTGTAGCCTACCTATCAAAACAATTGGATGAGGTAGCCTCCGGATGGCCCAACTGCCTCCGGGCGGTCGCTGCAACCACTTGGCTCTGGATTACCTGCTGGGGGAACACGGAGGAGTCTGTGCAGTCACCAACACCTCCTGCTTCACTTGGATCAATACTACTGGCCAGGTTGAGGTAAACATCAAGGAGATGTTCAAACAGACTGAATGGCTCCACTCGTTTGGCAAAGACACCACAGCCTCCTCTGTCTGGAATACAATAAAGGAGGCTATCCTTACCTGGCTCCTTCTTTTTCTGGGACCCCTGGTAGCCATTCTCATTCTCCTTCTTTTTGGTCCCTGCCTATTAAATCTTCTTGTCAGATTTGTCTCCTCCAGGCTGAAACGGTTCCATGTTGAGCTGATGGCCATGCACGGATTTCAACTGGTCTCCCCCAGTGCCCCTAGCCCACCACCGGGACCCTTAGATCAGGCTGCCAGAGATTTCCACTCCCTCCAGTAAATAGGGTCAAGGCCCCACCTCAGCTTGAAGCAGTTACAGAAGCCTGACCTCCGGCCCCCAACACCCCTTAAGGTTAAGGGAGTGAAAATCTCTGAGGAGGGGAATGAGACAGGGGTCTTGGAGGGTTAGGTGGGGCCCTAGGTGAGACAAGTCTGCACATACAGGAAGCCACATCCACCTGAAGTCGGCTACACATCCTGTAACATAGGGCAAGTCAGTAGCCCACCCATGCCTGCTGCAAACTACTCGGTTTGTAGAGGGACCACAAACTGAGCATGCAGTTCCAGAAACAATCAACCTGCTGATCACGTCCTGAAGTCCAATCCCCAACTGCTGCAGCCATTTCCCTTCGAGGTCCCATAAAAAGTCCCCTTCAACCCAGCTCAAGGCTGCTTTCTCTACTTTCTGAGACAGCCCAGGCTCTCTGCAGCCTGGCCCTTTCCCTTACCTAAGTCTTGCTTAATTGCTTGATAAAACTGTTTTGCACTTTATTCTGTGACTCTCATCTGAATTCATTCCTGCGGGTGCCCAAGGACCCACTTTCTCAGCCCGGAGCCCCAGGCGGGTAACCAGGGTCGGGCAACACTACATCTGAGATTCATTCTGTTGCTCTGTGCAGCAGTAGCCCATTCATTTTCATTGTTGTAAAGTATCCCATCATACTACAATTCATTTATGCATTATACTGCTGATGAACATTTGGATCATCAAATAACATTGCTGGGATTATTCTTGCACACATCTTTTGGTACACAGAGGCTTGCAGATGTGTTGTTATATAACAACTGGAATTACCGATTTGTAGAATGTGTGCTCAACTTGATAGATCTTGCGAGTTTTCCAAAGTGGTTGTACCAATCTACAGTTTCATCAGCAGATTTTAAAATCCAGATATAACATTGTCCCTATCCACAATTACCCGGACACTTGTTAGACATGTTTTTATTTTTTTATTTCTCAAATAGGTGTATATTTGTGATCACCACAAAGTAACCACTTCCTTTGTTGCTTTTTGAGATATGTTTTCTCTTTTAAGATTTTTTTGTTAAATAGTAAAACAAAATATTTATAAAAAATACGTAAAGAATAACAGCACAATAAACCCTCATCATTGTTCTATATATCATTATTACCATCAACTTTGAGGTCCTTTCTAAATCTATCACCTCTTCCCAAAGGTAATGACTACCCTGAATTTTGGGTTAATCATTTTTTTACTTTTCTTTATGGTTTTAAAGCATACTTATTTATGTACCCCTAAAAATATTTTTTAGTTTGTATTTTTGAACTTTATATAAATGGAATAATTCTGTTTTCTGACTTGCTTATTTTCAATCAACTCCATGTACCTGAGTAATAGTACTAAATGCCAATTTTTTTCTCTTACAAACACTGCAGCTATGAATATTTGTATATACTGTCAAATAAAAAGCAAATCTGGACTTAGTGAAGAGAGACTTTATTTGAAATGACTGTTGCAAGGGAGGAAAGGAACTATTGCAATAGGGAGACGGAAGCTGTTGCAACGGGAGAACGCTCTGACCGTAGGATCTGCACGTGTCTCAAGGGTTAGGCAAAAAGAGTTGAGTGTGAGAAAGTGGGATGACCAGGAGTGGCATGATGGGAGAGATCAGAGAACATTTTCTCCTGAAGCCAGCCTGTTCTCAGGAGGGGCTATTAAGGAGGGGTTTGCGCTGGCGCAAGTCAGGGGCCAGGGATGCAAAGTTCAGGGAACTGGGGGAAAGAAAGCTTAACCAAACTTTGGTTAACAAGCATTTTGTTCTGAATGATCATTGGGCCAAGCAATTCATCCAAGCGTTTTTGAGGCAGAGAAGTGGAATTTAAAGTCTGTGTCTAGCCTTGTCATAGGTAAACAAGGGGGCACCCATAAGTTTTATCTAAGTCATATCACAGAGTGTGTTTCTTTACAATAATCTGTGTTCCAGAACACCAAAGGCGGGAGGCGTTTCCTAACTTTGGCTGTTTTTCAGGATCACAGGGCTTAGGTAAAGGTCAACATTGTCAATACATTTCCTGATAAACGCATGCAAGAATTTCTTTAAAGTAGATACCCAGAAGTGGAATTGCTGGGTCAAAAGGTAAGTGTAGTTTCACACTACTGGGTGATGCCGAATTGTTTCCCCAAGTACCAGTTTACACTTCTATCAACAGTATTTGGGAGCTCCAGTCGCTCCACATCGTCACCGACTTTTGAGGATTTCAAAATGTTTGCCAATCTGGTGGATGTGAAGTGGGTCTCACTGCATTTCCTTGATTATTAATGAGATTGAGCATCTTTCATTGTTAATTGGACTTTTTTCTCTTCTGTGAAGTGTCTTCGGCCCACTTTTCAATTGGATTGTTTATCTTTTTCTTACTGGTTTGTGGGAGTTCACCAATATGTTTTGTAAAAATAAATGGATGAACGACTGAAAGGCTCTGAACTGAGAAAGAACTGAGATTAGATTTAGGAGAGCCCCAACAAGTAAAAATCTTAAAAACTGCCCCTCCCGCAGGCTTCTAATTAGATCCTCACTAGAGCCTTATGAAAACTCTGTAACCCCATTTCTCAGGTGAGTTTTTCCATTATCGCCGACTTCTCTCTGTGGGAAAGGGACTGGAACGACTTCTCCCAGACCTCCCCAGCTCCCATTTCCACATTCAGACTCCCAGCGGACTACCTGCGGGTTAGAAAGTACTATTGCAACGCAGACAACTCGGAGCTGCTCGCGCTGTTCTCGCGAGAATTGGTTCCAGCTGATCATGTGATAATCCAAGATGGCGGTGCCCAGCGAGGCAGAGAAGGAAGCGCCAGTTTACTTAATAGTGAGCGGTATCCCTTCGGAGTTGCGCTCGGCCCAGCTACGGAGCTACTTTAGCCAATTTCGGGAACAGCGCGGCTGTGGCTTCCTCTGTTTCCACTACCGGCATCGGCCTGAGCGGGCCCCTCCCCAGGCTGCTCCTGACTCTGCTCTAACTCCTACCGGCCAGGTTCTCGCTGAGACTTCGGTCACCGATGCCCGCGCTCTCTCCACTCGGGACTCTGCTCCCGCCCAGACCCGCACCTGCTGCTGCGTCATCTCGGTACCGGGGGCGGCTCAAGCCCAGAGGCTTCTTCGCATGTACTCCGGCCGCCGTTGGCTGGATTCTCAGGGGACTTGGTTGCCCGGTCGTTGTTTCATCCGCAGACTTCGGCTACCTACTGAGGCATCAGGTACGGGTGAGAAAGATGATAGACTGGGCCTCCGGGCCCTGGAACAGAGGCACCTCTCCTGAGGGATGATGAGAATAAGTCACGTCTCTGCTTACGACTCTTTAGGAGTTTAGGACATTTATGGATAGAGCTTCAGGCTCAACTTGCACGTTAGTTTACCTCAGGGAAAAACAAACCAAAAAGAGGCCTATTCGGATGATGGTCTATTTTCCAACTTTATTAGATCCCGTCTGAGACTCTTTTGTCTATCTGAGGGGTTCATTTTGCACTGACACAAAGGGAAAATAGGAAATCAAGTTTCTAAAACTCTTATTGTCTTTTTTTTTAATTGCGGTAACATTGGTTTATAACATTATATAAATTTCAGGTGTACATCATTATATTCCGATTTCGTGTAGTCTTATTGTCTGTCTTTATTGCACTCTCTTTATTGCTCCCCACTCACTTCTCTCTTAGCAAGGTGCAAATGAAGAGACTTTATCTTTTCTCAGAACTCCCATTTTCATGGGAAATCACTTTGATGGAGAACAGGAAACACAGTGCAGAGCCCTCTTCATTCATTCTTTCAACAAATCTAGCTTGTATTGCTAGACCTAGTGTGACTCTAGCTTACATGCAGAGAACAGTTGGACAGTCTGTGCTCAGAATCCAGAGAAGACGACAGATTTGTAAAGAGGTAATTGTCACAGAGATGCCATTCTAATTGTTAACATTTATGAGCACTTCCTATGTATCTACTAGGCACTGTTCTAAGCTTTTCATTTCCTTATTGACTCCTTACAACAGTCCTATAAGGTAGGAGCTATTCTTACCCATTTTATAGGGAGGAAACTGAGGGATGCAGAAGTTATGTTACTTGCCCAAGGTTACAGAGCTAGTAAGTGGCAGAGTCACCATACAAACCCAGGCATTTTGCTCCAGAGCCTATTCTCTTTTTCACCAAGTGCTGTGAGATGACAGAGGGAGAAACCCATTTCCTAGAGGGATCAGGAAATGTGGCATGTCATCGGGATCTTGAAAGATAAACAGGAATTTGTAGGGAAGACTAGTGTTCAAAGTAATGGCATTTTCAAAGACACAGAGAGATGTGAAAGCCCATGAAACTTTCAGGGCATGTTAAATTGTTTGCTGTGGTTGGAGCACGTGGTACAAGAGTGTGCAGGGGGTGAGGGTTGATGGCAGTTGAGAATGAAAAGGTTGTAAGAACCAGATCCGGAAGAAACTTGTGTGCTCAGCTGAGATGATGAGAAATGGCATGAAACTACTAGGTGCTCTAGTCAGGGACTGGAAGAAGGGGCTCTGGAGAAGTGTGAAAGGCAGGAACAGCATTAAGCTAAAGGATTTAAACCTTGACCAATTTCTGGCTCAAGTGTTGGCGGAGGCTTCTGGGTTTGAAGAGCCATTCTTTTCTCTTGCTTCCCAAGGTTTGGGCTCCTTTCCCTTCAAGACCCGGAAGGAACTGCAGAGTCGGAAGGCCAAGAGTGAAGCCTTCACTCTGGCCGACCTGAGGCAACTGCCAGAGCTGAACCCACCAGTGCTGATGCCCAATGGGAATGTGGGAACTCCCCTGGGGGTTTTTTTGGAGTTGATCCGGGCCTGCCGCCTACCCCCTCGGATCATCACCCAGCTGCAGCTCCAGTTCCCTAAGACAGGTTCCTCCCGGCGCTACGGCAATGTACCCTTCAGGTATGAGGATTCAGAGACTGTAGAGCAGGAAGAACTTGTGTACACCGCCGAGGGCGAGGAAATACCCCAGGGAACCTGCCTGGCAGACATACCAGCCAGCCCCCGTGGAGAGCCTGAGGAGGAAGGGGAAAAGGAGGAGGAAGAAGAGTCACACTCAGATGATGTGAGTACAGTGAACCACCCTGTCCTTGCTGGCAACTTAGAGAGGCCAAAGTATTAATAATACCACTCTTCAATTGTATATTACAAGAGTTCTAAACCTGGGGTCCCCAGGAGGGTTCCAAAGAGTTAAAACTCCCTGACATAGGATGTAAAACTGCATTAGCACGTGCAAATATGCATTTTTCTATGGGGAGAGGGGCCAGAACTTTTATCAGAAGATTCTCAAAGGGGTCTTCTTTTCATTCCTTTAGAAGGAATGTAAGGAAGGTCTTTTTCATAGATGAAAATCTGCCAACCATGAGATAAGATAATCTAAGAAAGTAGAGGCCGCGCTGGGATGTGAATCCAGTCCTCTTCACTGCTTGTCTAACCTCTGTGTGCTTTCATTATGTGGCTGAGAAGTCCCTTCTATTTTTTGACTTTGAGTCTGTGGATTGAACACTAGCCTCCACTCTATCAGTAAAATATAGTCAGGAGCCACATAAGGACATTTCAGTCAACAAGGGACCACATATACAAGAGTGGTCCCCTAAGATTAGTACCATATAGCCTGGGTGTGTAGTAGGCTATACCATCTAGGTTTGTGCCAGTACATTCTGTGATGTTTATACAATGACAAAATCACCTAATGACACGTTTCTCAGGGTGTATCCCCGTTCAGCAACTCATGGCTGTAAACATTTCTTCCACCTGTTTCCCCATACCTGGTTGTTCATCCATAAAATCAGGAGAGATGTGATTTGTTGGGAAACTTTTTTTATGTATACATTGGGTAAAAAGTAATTCACCTATGTCTTCAAAGCTCCCGGCCCAGAGTTGCTAACACATCTGGACCACAACCTTAGTCTGGTGCTGTCCTGATTTTTCTTCAATACCTGCTTTGCAGCAGTGATTTCTTAGGGCTCTTGAAGTTTAAACAGGACGGGGCCCCCAGGATTTCAAGCCAAGAGTCATCCTATCATTTGACAAGTCCAGTCAAGCAGGAGTAAACATAGGGGCTGGCGCAGGATTCCAAAGACATTCTGAAACTCATTTCCTGCCCTCAAAGAGCCTTAAATCTCCCTGAACAGAGAGAGAACCAGCATGTGGCAAACTGGGTTGTAATGCTAGCTCTGCCACTCTCTTGGTGGACTGTCTTGAGCAAATCTCCTTACTCCTCTGAACCCAGGTTTCTGCTGCTTTTTTTTTTTTTGAGGAAGATTAGCCCTGAGCTAACATCTGCTGCCAATCCACCTCTTTTTGCTGAGGAAGACTGGCCCTGAGCTAACATCCGTGCCCATCTTCCTCTACGTGATATGTGGGACGCCTGCCACCGCCTGGCTTGCCAAGCGGTGGCATGTCCGCACCTGGGATCTGAACCAGCGAACCCCGGGCTGCCGAAGTGGAACGTGTGCACTTAACTGCTGCGCCCCTGGGCTGGCCCCTGAACCCAGGTTTCTTCATCTGTAGAATGAGAATAATAGTACCTCACAAGTTGTTGGGGTGATTAAAGGAGCTGAGTTATGTGAAGGGCCTGACGCACAGTAGACAATAGGTATTAGTTCTTGTCCCTTCTTTCTTTGTGACATCCCATACAAAGGCCTCAACAATGTGATTAGCACTGAGAAGTTCAGAGACCAGCGAGAGTGCTGTGGGCCTTAGTGTGGGGGGGCTTCATGTAGGCTGTAGAACTTGAGGGATGAGGAAGAATTTAACCAAATGAACAAGAGAAGGTGGTGGGAGAGGAGGGAAGATATTGCAGGCAGGGGGAACAACATGGCCAAAAGCAAGGAGATAAGAGTGAATCAGGCTTATAAGGAGAAGGAACCAAGTATGTTGAGAAACGGGATGCAGAGATGTGTTGGTTAAGGCCTCGAGGGCCAAATATGTGCTGCTTCTCAGAGAAATTTGGAGGAGTGGAGCTGAGGGCCCATCTCACAGGCCTCCTGTGCCCTGAGCTGTCCTCCTTGTGGGCATGAGGTCAGGAAGCTAGACAGGCAGGTCACCTCTCCCCACCTTCTCTCAGGACGATGACCGGGGTGAGGAGTGGGAGCGGCATGAAGCACTGCATGAGGACGTGACCGGGCAGGAGCGTACCACGGAGCGGCTCTTTGAGGAGGAGATCGAGCTCAAGTGGGAGAAGGGTGGCTCCGGCCTGGTGTTCTACACTGATGCCCAGTTCTGGCAGGAGGAAGAAGGAGGTAATGCTGGCACCCAGGCAAGGGCAGGAGTGATCCCGGCTGCATTCGCTGAGGGCTTTCTGTTCCACATGGTGGGTTCCCTGGCAGTGAGTCCGAATAAAGGGCTAGGGAAGAGACTTACCTTGATTGTATATGAAAGACCAGTCATCCTTTTTAGGGGAGGGGGATCAGTGGAGTGCAGAGAAAATGCCCTCCTGTAAATTCTGAATGACCCTCCCAGAGGAGACTTAAAAATACAATCAAAAGCCCCAAGTTGTAGAACATATGCCTAAGCCCAGATTTAACTCTCAACAGAACTGAGTCCTTAGCTCACTCTGCCTGATGCTTTCGTTTCTGCAGACTTTGATGAACAGACAGCCGATGACTGGGATGTGGACATGAGTGTGTACTACGACAGAGGTACTGGGCCAGGGTTTGCAGTACGGGGAGGTGGAAGTGGTGCCCGGACTTGCAGTGACACTTCACCAGACCTACTTAGCAGAGGCTGAGACAGGGGACCGGTTCCCTTAGCGTAGCCCACTGAGAACATTCCCCTTAGAAATCTCTAGTTGAGTGCATTGAGTGCTGGTTGTGGGCAGAGCCTTGTCCCTCTCTTTGTGAAGGTTCACTGGGGACAGCCCTCAGGGAGCTCTGGTTCTGCTAGGCAGGCTCTAGTAGAGTGGGAGGGGCAGGAGTTCATGCTCTGGTTAAGAGTTTAGATTCTGGAGTCAAAAATGACCTGAGGTGGGGTGGGGTGGGAGGGGAAGACCTGGGTTCTAATTCTGTCATTTGTTGGCTCTATGATTTTTCTGCACCACAATTTCCTCATCTGTAAGATGGGAGAGCCATGGTTCCTACTCTTGGGGAGCACCCAGTCTAATGAGAGAGATAATAATAAAGTCATAAACTACAGTAAAGATGAATACGTAAATCTTGTGAGGAGGTCTTAGAAACCTGATTTTCCCTGCTTCTGCTGAGAGAGACCCTTCTGCAAACTGGGCTCTGCTTCCTCAGATGCTGGAGACAAGGATGCTCGAGACTCTGTCCAGATGCGTCTGGAACAGAGACTCCGTGATGGCCAGGAGGACGGCTCTGTGGTCGAACGCCAGGTGGGCACCTTTGAGCGCCACACCAAGGTGAGCACTGTCCATTGTCCAGCCCATTGACCCATCTCTTTTCCTTCTCTACCCCCATTCCTTCTCTTCTTCCCTCTACCCCCCACCCCTGCAGGAGCCCCATCTCTTGAGTCTTCTCCCTTTCCTCTGCAGGGCATTGGGCGAAAGGTGATGGAGCAGCAGGGCTGGGCTGAGGGCCAGGGTCTTGGAAGCCGGGGCTCAGGGGTGCCTGAGGCCTTGGATAGTGACGGCCAGCACCCCAGATGCAAGCGTGGATTGGGGTGAGTATGGCTGAGGGACTTCCCTTGGGGTTCAGGCTAGCCTTTCAGCTGTACTCTTTCCCCCTTCCCTCTGGTTTTGGGATTGGTGCTAGGGACTCAGGGGATGAACTTCAAAGCAGAGTTAGAAAGAAAAAGTAGGTCTGGCACTAATATTTTTTTAGACCAAGCCCCAAGGCTTAAGAGGACCATGGATTTCCTGAGGGAGTCATTCTCCCTAGTCTTGGGAGTTTGAACTTGATGATTGCCATTAGGGAGTGACTGTGAGTCACAGAGTGGTGACAGTTGTTCTAAACGTTGTGTTCTATTTAAAATGAAAGCAGGGGCCGGCTGGGTGGCGCAGTGGTTAAGTTCGCACATTCTTCTTCTGCGGCCCCGGTTAGCTGGTTCGGATCCCGAGTGCGGACATGCCACCGCTTGGCAAGCCAGGCTGTGGTAGGCGTCCTACATATAAAGTAGAGGAAGATGGGCACGGATGTTAGCTCAGGGCCAGTCTTCCTCAGCAAGAAGAGGAGGACTGGCAGCAGATGTTAGCTCAGGGCTAATCTTCCTCAAAAATAAATAAATAAATAAATGAAATGAAAGCAGTATGTGAGGTTCCTGGTTGCTGGCACTGTCAATGGATAGATACGGGGGCTGGAGAGCAAAGATCCAGATTTAAAGCTCTGTCTTTGAGACAAACCAAGTATGTAGTAGCTACTTCCCTGTTCTTTCCCAATCCCTTCACTGGGGTTTGAGAGAGAGCAGCCCTCTCACTGAGAACCCTTTGTAATCCAGGTATCATGGAGAGAAGCTACAGCCATTTGTGCAACTGAAGAGGCCCCGCGGAATCGGCTTGGGGCTCATCTCCACCATCTACGATGAACCCCTACCCCAGGACCAAGGGGAGCTGCTGCTCCGCCGCCAGCCACCCACCAGCATGAAGCTTCGGACAGACATGGCCTTTGTGAGATGTTCCAGCTGTGCCTTGGACACCAACTCAGAGCCCGAGTGATGACACATTCAGGGGCTTCCTTAGTCAGGGTCACTCATAGCTGCAGTGGCAGCCCCCTGCCGGGACTCCCTCCGGAGTAGAAAGAACTCTGGGAGTAGCAATCTGCACAACTTGTTCAGGGTGCTTTGTTCTGAACTTGCCTTCAGGCTCTCTACCTCAAGGGCGTTTTTACAAAAAGTCCCGCTATCCTCCTCCCTTTTGATATTAGGGCTTAATGACCTCTCCTCCTTGGTCTCCTAACCTTAGTTCCTGTTTAGACCTGCCCGTTGCCTCCCCCAGTACCTTGAAAGGCTGGACTGACTGAGGCTATGAGCACAACCTTCATTGGCGGGTCACTATGAAGGCCAGAAAGTGGGAGGAAGAGACCTGGGAGAGGAGAGGGTTTGTGGGGCTGGGAAGAGACGGTCTTGGGGCGTGCCCTCCCACGCCTCTACCCTTACCCAGCTGCGTCCGGAGAGTCCGCGGGAGGTGGTCGGGTCTGCGACCTAACGGGAGAGTAAAGGTTTGACTGGGTTTTTCTGTCTCTTCTGTTTTGGGCCGGGAGGAAGGTCGAGGAAATACCAGGAGAAGGTCCCCACATCTGGCCCCTCCCTCTCTGGGGGAGTCCCGCGGTGCCACGCCCCTCGGCGGCCGCCCGCGTCGGCACTGCGGGGGCGGGACTTCCTTTCCGGGCGCCGCCGTTTCCGGCATCGTCCGGAAGTCGATCCTGGTCCTGTCAGTACCGGGTCCGTCCTTCTCGCGTCGCTCCGGTTCTAGCTGTTCCTTCTTAGGCGACCCCGGGCCTCGCTGCCGGCTCCCCGGAAGTCCCTCGCACTCGGCTTGCGTGTTGCTGCCCACCGTTTCCCCGCTGAACTCGCGTGGGTCCCCGTGCCGCCCATGGCGGGGGCCGCTACGACCACGGCCTTCGGGCAGGTGGTCATCGGCCCGCCGGGCTCGGGGAAGACCACGTACTGCCTGGGCATGAGTGAGTTCCTGCGCGCGCTGGGCCGGCGCGTGGCGGTGGTGAACCTGGACCCGGCTAACGAGGGGCTGCCGTACGAGTGCGCCGTGGACGTGGGCGAGCTGGTGGGGCTGAGTGACGTGATGGAGGCGCTGCGGCTGGGGCCCAACGGCGGCCTGCTCTACTGCATGGAGTACCTGGAGGCCAACCTGGACTGGCTGCGAGCCAAGCTCGACCCGCTCCGCGGCCACTACTTCCTCTTTGACTGCCCCGGCCAGGTGGAGCTCTGCACGCATCACGGCGCCCTGCGCAGCATCTTCTCGCAGATGGCACAGTGGGACCTCAGGGTGCGTCTCGGGTCTGGTAGGCCCATTTTGCAGGTGGAGGAACTGAGACAGAGAGAACAGATGCCACGGCCCCAAGTCACACAGCGAGGTAGGGTTGAGTCGCTTTGGAGTAAAACAGGTGTGAATTTGAATTCTGCCTCTGCTACTGACTCGCTGTCTGGTCTTGGGTAAATCAGGTTATTTCTCTGAACCTCAGTGTTCTCATCTGTAAAATGGACGTGCTAGTATCCAATTTGGGATTATGAGAAGTATAGAAAGGGTTATGTGGAAAGTGGCATGATGATTGTTGTGACTTGATGGGCAAAAATAAGTGAAAGAATAGAGTCAGGTGCAGTGGGAATTGAACCGCTTGCCCACTGGGAGGCTCAGTGCAAGGCATGTTGTAAGAAAAAAATGTCCCATCATCTCTTGGGAGAAAGAAATGAGTGCGGCTAATAGAATGAAACAGAAGCAGGAGGCAACTAATGGGGAAAGCTTGCACTCTGTCCTCGGAAGTCTCCAGTGTGATGGGGGAGACATAGGCCCTGATGTTCCCTGCCTCTCCAGGCCACTCTCACCTTGTCTCTTCTTCGCTTCCCAGCTGACTGCCGTCCATCTCGTGGATTCTCACTACTGCACAGACCCAGCCAAGTTCATTTCAGTACTGTGTACCTCCCTGGCCACCATGCTGCACGTGGAGCTGCCGCACGTCAACGTTCTCTCCAAGATGGACCTCATTGAGCACTATGGGAAGCTGGGTAAGAGCTCCTGTTCTGGGCAGACAAGGACAGGGCAGTGGCTGGGCGGAGTGAAGCAGAGATCTCAGCTGAAGGATGCAGCCTCCAGGGACCATGCATGGCCTGGTGATAGTAGCCACAGATAGGTCCTGACCCTTGCCCATTTTTTTTGTGCCATTCTGTGCCAGATACTGTTCTGGGTTTGGGGGACAACGGAGCTACAGATGGTGATACGTACTACAAAGGAATGAAAGTGATGGCACAGTGAGTGGTTGGGAGTCAGGGGAGTGAGCAATGCCATCTGAGCTAAGACCCAAATGGTTAGAAGGAGCCAGGAGAAGTATTCTAGGCAGAGGGACCAGAAGAGGTAAAGGCCCTTAGGGAAAGAGCTTTCTGGGTTCAAGGAAAAGGCAGGGGCGGGGTGGAACCCAAAGTAACTGAGTTAGTGGGCAGGGGAAGGGTGGTAGGAAATGAGGTCAGAGAGGTGGGTGGGGGCCAGAACCTGTACTGTTGAAAGACAGAGGAAAACCATTGATGAATATTAAGCAAGAGAATAGCATGAACTGAAAAAGTCATTCTGGCTGCTTTGTGGAGAATGAATTAAAAAGGGTAAGAATGAAAACAGAGATCCTTTAGGTTTTTGCAGCAGCCCAAGCAGTCATAGTGGAAATGAGGAGAAGTAGATAGATTGAAAACTTACTCAAGAAATAGGATTTGTTTGTGGATTGGGTGAGGAGACAGGAATTAAGGATGACTCTCAGGTTTCTGACTGAGCCAGTGGACAGATAAGGATGCCATTTGTTGAGTGAGGAAGACTGAGGGGGAATCAGGCTGGTGCAAGGCAGGAGAGTTGCCTAGGGGCCCAATGGCCAGCATTTTTTCATGCAAAATTAGTGCTTTGCTGAGCTGGGAGCATCAGTTCCCTAAATAGCATCTCCAGCCACAAAGGAACCTAGAAAAGAAAAGCAGAAATGACCAGCAGTGAGCAGGAGGGAGGTTGTTGGGAGAGTAACATGACAGGAGACTTGTCCAAAGAGGCCAACTGGCTGCCAGTCAGGACTTGGAGGGGCCGTGTCAGCCCAAAGTTCTGGTCCATCTCTTGACAAGCCCAGAAGCCCCATTTTATCTAGGTCCAGATGTGCAGTCCTCCCAAGCCCCTGTCCCCCTTCACAGCCTCCAGCCCAGATGGCTACATGGTGGTCCTCGACGTTTCCAGCTCTGACTCTTGCCAGTCATCCTCGCAGGAGACTGAGATGTAAACCAGATGAGGCAGTTGAGGCCCAGAGACATTACCTGAATAGTCCAAGGTCAGTCACACAGCTGATGTGTTAGCTGAGACGAAATCTAAACCCAAGTGTGCCTGGCTCAGTTTCTTAGTTCTTAGGGAAAAGTGTACCTGTCAGGCAATCCAAGAAGTTTGTTGGAATGCCCAGGACATTCTTCCTTGTAGGTACAGGATGTCAGTTTCTTTCTTTCTTTTTTTTAAAGATTTTATTTTTCATTTTTCTCCCCAAAGCCCCCCGGTACATAGTTGTATATTTTTAGTTGTGGGTCCTTCTAGTTGTGGCATGTGGGACACTGCCTCAGCGTGATGAGCGGTGCCATGTCTGCGCCCAGGATCCAAACCAGCGAAACCCTGGGCCACCGAAGCGGAGCGTGTGAACTTAACCACTCAGCCATAAGGCTGGCCCCAGGATGTCAGTTTCTAATTAGAGCTGATTAGAACACAGGAGGCAGGAAGTGAGTTGATCTCTGACAGCCTGACGCCCTCACTTTGGAACAGACCTGCTGAGTAGCCCAACCACTTGAGTTTCCCAGGCAGAAATTGACAGTGCAGAGAGGCCAACTTTCGGTTTTTAGTAGGAAGTTTGTATTCATAGAACTGAGTCAGGAACCTCCGAGTCGTCTAGTCTGGGTCTCCTCGTTTTATGTTAAGAAGGAACTGGCCCAGAAAGGGAAAGTGATTTACCCAAGAGGCCACCCTGCTAGAATGTAGTGTTCATTCAATATGACCAGCATTTACAGAGTCTTTACAGTGTGTGTGCCAGGTCCTGGGGGTACTGCCTGGCTGAGCTTCATAAGGTGGGGACCCAGCAGTGTTCTTACTACATGTTCGATACCATTGTTTACTACCATTGGTCAAGGACTTTTCTGTATCAGGCACTGGGGTTTATAGCATTTAATCCTCACAAGAGCCCCATGAGGTGGGTACCTGCCCATATAGCTAGTAAATGGCAGAATCAAGTATTTTCTTCTTAGTAACTTCATTTCACCGTCTCAAAAAATATTTGTTGAATGAATGAGTGAATGAAGGCAAAAGAAGAAAGAAGGAAAATATGGTCCCTGTCTTCAGGTCTTTAGCCTCATGCCAGCTGCTCCTGAGCATCGGTTTCTCTCCTTAGCCTTCAACCTGGACTACTACACAGAGGTCCTAGACCTCTCCTACCTGCTTGACCACCTGGCTTCTGACCCTTTCTTCCGCCACTACCGTCAACTCAATGAGAAACTGGTACAGCTCATCGAAGACTACAGCCTGGTCTCCTTCATCCCTCTCAACATCCAGGTACTGGGGACTAAGAGGCCTCTTCCTTTGGCTGCAGGCTCTGACAGTACCTGGGAACTCACCAAGCCAAGGCTATGGGAGGCTTTGTGGGCTCAAACAGTGGTCTTTCTCCTGGGCTTGACTATCATTGGGTCCTCTTGGTTTCAGGACCAGGAGCTCTGGTGGGCAGGATTCCAGTAAGGAAGGTGGACCAAAATTTGGCCTTACCTATTCTGTATTGCTGGGTTCTCTCTACACATGTTCCCTCCTCGGTGTGGAAATGAATGAGTTCAGAAAGTCACCAGCAAGGGACTTGATCAAGGCCAGGGACAAGTCTCTCAGGTTCCTTTAAGATAGGCAACTGCCTGTTGACTTTGCAAACTAGTACCCAACCCTTGTGCCTCCCACCTTGCATCCTGCGAGGGTAACCTGGGAGACGCAGGTGCATGTTAGAGTCCTTTCTGCAGTGGGTGGACTGGAGCAAACTTGTCTCTTCCCCTTTTTTTTTTTTTTTTTTTTTTTTGAGGAAGATTAGCCCTGAGCTAACTACTGCCAGTCCTCCTCTTTTTGCTGAGGAAGTCCGGCCCCGAGCCAACATCTGTGCCTATCCTCCTCCACCTTCTATGTGGGATGCCTACCACAGCATGGCGTGCCAAGCAGTGCCACGTCCACACCCGGGATCCAAACCGGCGAACCCCGGGCCCCCAAGAAGCGGAATGTGCGAACTTAACCACTGCACCACCGGGCCAGCCCCTCTTCCCTTTTTAATGCCACACTTTTCTCCTCTAAAATGAAAGAATGAATTCTGTAATATTAATCATAACAACTACCATTTCTTTTTTTTGGTAAGATTTTATTTTTCTTTTTTCTCCCCAAAATCCCCCAATACATAGTTGCATATTTTCAGTTGTGGGTCCTTCTAGTTGTGGCATGTGGGATGTTCAGCACGGCCTGATGAGTGGTGCCATGTCCGCGCCCAGGATCCGAACCGGTGAAACCCTGGGCCGCCGAAGTGGAGCATGTGAACCCAACCACTCAGCCATGGGGCCGGCCCCAACTACTACCATTTTTTGAAGGCTTTGTCTGCTGGGCACTGTGCCAAGAACTGTCCATACATTATTTTGCTGTCTTCTTCCCATTGTGTGAGATATGGACTGTTCTTATCACTTTGATGTGGATGAGCAAAGAGGTTACATGCATATTTATTGGGTGCCTGCTGTTAGCAAAGTTCCGTGCCGGGCACTGGGGCTACCTCGACAAATGAGTCTCTGACCTCAGAGGGTACAGAGTCGAGTTGGGGAGGCAGATGAGTTAATAACTTAATAATAGTTAGTGAGATAGTAGGATCACGGCTACAATAGGGATAAACCCAGGGGACAATGGGTGTGCATAGAAGAGCTTATCTCTTCTGATGTGTGGTTGGGGGACAGGGGGTCAGGAAGGGTAGGATGTAGCCAGGCCCTAAAGGACATGGAGAACTACTCCAGGCCAAGGAAGCTGCATGCACAGAGGCTTCATGAGGCAAGATCAGGGAGCTGTTTGGAGACTAAAAGCAGTTTGGTACAACCTCAATTCCACATACCTCTGTTTCACTCACAGAGCTGTTTTTCTCCTCCCCACCTAGGACAAGGAGAGTATCCAGCAGGTCCTGCAGGCTGTGGATAAAGCCAATGGCTACTGCTTTGGGGTCCAAGAGCAGCGAAGCCTGGAGGCCATGATGTCTGCTGCAATGGGAGCTGACTTCCATTTCTCCTCGTATCCTTGCTCTCTAGCCTCCCAGCCACAGCCAAGAGGGGGAGACTTGGGGTTTAGGAGTGGCCACATCTACCCTTGTAGATGACTGATTTCATGTTGAACAGTTGTGCTCCCTGGTGACTGTCTTTCATCTGCAAAGGCTGGTCCCTTAGAAGTTTTCAGGGTTGGTTGTACCTGAGGGCAAGGGAGGATATTGATCAGAAAGAGCAACAAATACAGAGGCCCAGAAATAAAAGGGCATTGGTCATTTGAGAGAGATTCGACGGGTTCAGTTTCAGTTGCCTGGTGTCTTGAGTGTGAAGGGGAAAGAGAGATGCAGGGATATAAGGGAAGTAGACAGGGCTGGCGATGGAGGGCTTGAGTGCCCCGCTAAGGATTGTGGACTTGAGCTCATAGGTGGGCAGTGGGAACCAGCAGAGTATTGTTGAGCAGGATGTGACACAATCAGATGTGTTTTTTTGGGGGTTTTTGTTGTGTTTTTTTTTTGGTGAGGAAGATTTGCCCTGAGCTAACATCCATGCCAGTCTTCTTCTATATTTTAGTATGTGGGCCACCAGCTCAGCATGGCCGCTAACAGAGCAGTGTAGGTCCACACCTGGGAACCAAACCTGGGCCACCAAAGTAGAGCGTGCTGAACTTAACCACTAGGCCACCAGGGCTGGCCCCAGATACACATTTTTGAAAAGCTCCTCCAAGTGTGGAAAATGCATTTAAAGGATATGATTAAGGGCAGGAGGGTTTTTACAGTCTCTAGGTGAGAAGGGAGGAACATGGTAGTGAGAATAGAAAGAGTGTAGATTGGAAAAATATTAAGGAGATAGACTAGCAGAGTTGGTGACCAGATAGTTTTGGGATAGATGGAGCAGAATTCAGACTCCCAGGTTTCTGGCTTAGGCAGTAGTATGAGTGGTTGTGCTAATCACTGAGGCAAGAAAACAGAGACAAGGGGGCAGGTTTGTCACATGGGTGGAAGGGGGTGCAAGCTGGCACATGTGCTGTGTTTGAGGGGGCCATGGGACAACCAGAGCTGTTCAGGAGGCAGACCTTCAGACCTTCTGAACTGGAGCTGGCTTAGTGACCCGGGTGGGTGGAGCTAAGGTCATGTGTCCCTCGGATCACAGAGGCCACGTGTGAGGCAGGACAGGGAAGTCCAGGCCCTCTAGGCCGGTTTCAGAGATTTGGCATCTACACAGGATGCTGGAGACAAGGGGGGGCTCCAGAGTCTGGGGTATGGAGGAAAATAGTTCCAGCCAGCACTTAGTGATTTGTGTCAGCCCCTTTCACATGTGGGAAACAAAAGCTCACAGGGGAACAGACAAGTTATAAATGATGGCAGAAGAGTGTGCGGTGCCTGATGAAGGGGTTGAGGAACTGCCTTACACATTCAGTTAATGTTGGCAAATTCAACTGCATGTGCTCAGCAGAAAGGGAAGGGCAGTTTTAATAGTGCTGATATTTTGCACACTGTATGTTACTTTATGCATTCATTCATATTATACAGGATTCTATTCATAAAACCATGTATACTGTATTTAATAAATGAGTTGAGGAATTTTCAAGGATATTTTTAACCATATACATTTGTGCTGATGAGAAAAGTCAGCTCTGCTGAGGAGGGAGTGGGTAAGGAAAGCTTCATAGAGGCGGTAGCACTTGAGTTGCACCCTCTTAAAGGAGGGTTAGCCAGGCTGATTAAGAGAGAAAGGGAATCAGGGCAAAAAGAACAGTATTTACAAAGGTGAGGGGGTTCAAGGTTAAGACTTGTCTGAGGGGTTGCAAGTAGAATGGCATGACTTCTGGGCAGGACAGGGCTGCCTGGGGAACCAGAAGTGCGAGACAGATGAGTAGAGATAGAATGCAGGGTTTCATGGGCTCTGCTCAGGAACGCGGGCTTCAGGCCAGAGGCAAGGCAGATTTGAGATTGTTGCATGTCAAGCAAGATGGATTCCGCTGGTCCTGAGTGATCCTCAGGGCCAACTTGCACAGGAACAGGGCATTAGCTCCTGAGGAAAAGTGAAGGCGAGGGAGCATGGGTTCAGAGTCAGTTTGAGCAGCGGTGAGATGGATTTTGATAGATGGATCCATAAGAAATGGTAAAGAAAGGTCCGTAACCTGAACATCTTTTGGTGGGTTAGGTACTTCACTTGCAGGATCTCATTTAATTCTCATTCAGTCCCCTTTTATAGATGAGGCAGTTGGGGCTCTAAGAGTGACAGGTCCAAGGTCCCTCTCCCCAGATGTGTTGGAAGAATAGTTCAAACCTTGGTCTCCCCGGTTGTAGGATCTCAATTTCTGACGCTGGAGTCATCTAGCAGAACAGCCATGGTGGCCAGCCTTGCCATGGTAACCCCCATCTTCTAGTCAGACCGCACACCCAGACCTCAGGCCAGCCAGCCTCACAGGGCTCCTTCAGCAGTGTCACGGTCCTTTCCTTCGTGAATCTGATTTGTGTCCTTCCTGCTCCACTTTCCTCTTGTCCCGAGAGAAGTAGAAGGCACCCTGTGGCCCACACAAAAATTGGTCGTTTTCTTTGGGCTCCCGTGATTTCCCTCCCTGGGCAGAAGAAAAGTCACAAACACTTACTGAGCACCTAATGTGTGCCAGGTGCTGTGCTAAGCATTTTGTATTGTCTCATTTGGTCCTCACAACTCTTATTTTTACAGATGAGAAAAAGGAAGTGGCAAAATCAAGATTTAAACCCCCATGGTCTGGCTCTAGAGCATGTGCTATAATATAGAGCACTCTCTGGTCTTTTGATCCTCAGCATTGTGGGAAACAGGCAAATACAGGAACATTTGGGTCTGGATACTCAGAGGGGCTTCTCAGACCCAAATGGGTCCTGTTGCCTAAGCTGTAATTATGAGGAAGGGAGAGGGATGAAGGGAATCTACCAGACATTGTTGGAGTGGACACATCCATAAAGGTTAGATCCGTGGCCTAGTGGTTGGGTTTGCATGCTCTGCTTTGGCGGCCCAGGGTTCGGATCCTGGGCACGGACATGGCACTGCTCATTGGGCCATGTTGAGGCGGCGTCCCACATGCCACAACTAGAAGGACCTACAACTAAAATATACAACTATGTACTGGGGGGATTTGGGGAGAAAAAAGCAGGAAAAAAACCAAAAAGATTGGCAACAGTTGTTAGCTCAGGTGCCAACCTTAAAAAAAAATAAAATAAATAAAAGTTAGATCCTGCCCAGACCAGTTCCCCGTCCTTGCTGTGCTATCAACCTTGACGCACCCTCCCTCAGCACCCTGGGCATCCAGGAGAAGTACCTGGCACCCTCAGATCAGTCAGTGGAGCAGGAAGCCATGCAGCTGTAGCAACAAGCTGGGTTGTGGAAAACAAGACACATAACCCAGCACTGGGGAAAGTGGCAGCTCCCAGCGAGCAGCAGACAGCTCAGCAGGCTGCAGATCCGAGAGCACTCAGCCTTGCAGAGGACTTCTGGCCAAAAGCCAGACATGGCCCAGAGCAGAGTGCCCTCTACACCCTCAGTGCTCATGAGCTCTGGGCACTGCTGCCAGGAATTCAGCACTGGCCCTGCTTGGGCTCTGATGGAATGTGCTACAATACAAGAGTTTATTTTCTACTTTTTGTGGCTTCCAAACTTTCTTCAACCATCCACGCCCAGAGAGTTGGGGCAGAACAAGGAAATGTGACCTTCCCTCAGAAGAATCCTATTTCTTCATACAGGGCAGTGTTTCCCTCAAAGCACAAGATCATACTAGAGGACTGACAGACTCTCAGTCTCCAGTCATGTGCTTTTGTTGATCTTCACTTTTAACAGTGAGCTTCAAGCCTGAGCTTTCACAGGCAATCCTTCCTAGCTAGATCTTAATGTTCTGTTTTCATTGTATTTATTTCATGGATTTATTCTACTTTTGGCAAGTGTAAACTTGTTTTCCATTTATAGTAGTGATTAAGAGTTTACTTTAAAAATGAAATAATTTATACAAAGTGAGTTGTTTAAAGAAAAATATTAAGTATATAATATGACATTTTGAGGGGTGTGGCAAAAATCCTGATGGCCTGAAGTTGGGAAATACTGGTGTATGCTTCCTTTGCTCTTCTTGCAACTGGTTAAGTGTAATTTGTATTTTCAACCAATAGGTGGCATCCTAGGCTTATTTTTTGGCAGTTGTACCCTGAAGGCAGAAGGGGATGATGGCCATTGTGCCAGAAGTCTGATTTGCAGACACTGGGTCCTGTTAACACACGCAAAAAGCTTGGCATTTTATAAAGTGTTTCTACACACATGATCGTTGTGGTTCTCACAGCAACTCCTAGAGAAACACACAAGATGGGGAATATTACGAAGCCCCACTTTACTTGAGGAAATAGAAAGATGAAGAGTTTGAACTTCGTTCAGCCTTTGTCATCGTCCACTTTGCTGACTTGTTAATTGCGAATACTTAGTGGTGGAAAGTCACAGCACTTCTCCCACAGCATTTGTACACAACTGGAAGAAAGAATTTAGATACCTGTAGAATGTTACTGAATCATAAATCAAGGGAAGATAGGTTACTGGTGGTTTGGGCAGTTGGAGAATTCATTTTAGGAAAATCTATTCTGAAGTGACATTGAGATGGGGGTGACTGAGCTTTGGTTTCCAGTTTTGGCAGCCAAAGCAGACGGTGGAAGAATGAGGGACTGTAAGGAGGCTCCTGTGGCTGGAAGAGTATGAAAGCAGCCGACCTCCGCTCCCACGCCTGGCCATACAGGGGTTAATAACCGGGTGCTGTTTCCTCAGCCTCTTTCATCTGAGTTCAAAGCACCTCACCCCTATTAACACCCTGCACAGTAGGTGGAGAGTATCAACACAGCAAGCCAGGGAAACTGAGGCCAGGAGGCACAGCCTGGGGCTGGCTATGAGTCACCTGTGGGGCCTAGAGCCCAGGAATCCTGACATCCAGGCTGCTGGACGAATCCCTCATCAGTTAGGGTGTGAAGGTGGGTGCTGTGCTTTTGAAAATAGGACCAGTAGCTGTGGTCATGAGTTTTGATGCTTACCCCATCACAGAGACGCCAGCTCTCACCACAGCAAACCAGATGGAAGGCAGGCGTCATTGAGAACTTTATGGCCTCATATCCAAGCACCTCAGTATTTATTCTCTGCAGTCATGAGTGGAGTAGGATGGGAATAATCCAGAACTTTATTTTCAGGCCTTGGTGTGACAACAAGGGTGTTTTCTCCTCCAGTAAATGTAGCTTCTGTCTACCTCCCACTAATAGCAAAATGACTTCCTATTCCCCTGTCACACTGGGGAGGGGACAGCACAATGCAGAAAGGAGGAGACCTCTGGATTCCAGGTAAGGTCTGCTCAGCGTGAAATGTGTAGGGTGAGAGAAAGACGATCTTCCAATATGGCTGGCATATGGCAACCATCCTAAGATTTTTCTTTCTTTTCTGATAAAAATAGAAAAGTAAAAAACTTAGAAAATAAAAAAAAGTCACTCATAATCCCACAACACAGAAATAATCAAAAATATATCTATAATAAATTATCTATCCAACTATAAGTGTATTTTGTGTATTTCAGTCTTATTTTTCTATACATACACAAGGATAGCTAGCATTTATGTAAGTGGGATGTGTTATAATTTCTTTGTAACCTGTTTTCCAGTTAACACTGTTTCATGTAATTATAAATATATAAAGGCCTTTCTAATGTCGACATGATGCTATTCCATGGTATGGCTATAACATTATTTACATTTCCCAACTCCCATGGTTAGTCTATAAGTTATTACCAGTTTTTTACTATTGTAAATAATGCTGTGATTAACATGTTTGTACCTAAATCTTTGTCTGAGTCTCTGACTTTCGTGATAAAATCGTAGAAATGAAGTAGCCAACGTTTTCCACTTTCTGGATTCATATTGCCAAAATACCTTCCAGAAAAGTGCCACTTTCCGTTTCATGGATGCTGTCTGATAGTGCTTATCTCACTTCCAGACACCACTTTGCAATCGTGAACAACTTCTAGAGGGAAGAAACCATCTCTGCCTTAGAAAGGACCTTCTTGGTCATCTCTGCTAACCACTGACATTAGGGTGTATGTGTTTCCCAGCTCTGAATTGGGGAACCCCAACAATTGGAAGAAAGCATTTGGGACTTATCAGCGCCCACAGCTAACTGGAAAGGCTTCCAGCCCAGACAAAGAGGCTTAGGAGTGAGGGTGACGCCCTAAAGCCCACAGAGCTGAAGCACAGCCAGTCTGCTCTCAGCTGTTTCTGAATTAGCAATGCTCACCCACAGTTGGCTGAGAATAGGAAGCCTGATCCCATTAGGTCTGTGGAAAGGTCGATCTTAGAGATTCTCTGCCCTTTCTCAAGGCTCCTGAGAGGGGGAGGGGAGTGACTTCCGACCCATTCCAGCACTACTGAGGCCCACCCTGTTTTTGGAAAGAGAGGCCCAACTGCCCCAGACTCCAGGACGGAAATTCTCTAGCAAGCTGAGTAGCCCCCTCCTTTTCCTTCGCTTTCCTTCTCTCTTGCCCCTGTATGTGGAGCCCTTACTGAGCCTGGTCTGGGCTGCACACCTCCTCTTCCTGTCCCCTTTAGAATGAAGAGTCCCAGATTAGCACATATCTCAATAGCATCGGGCCTGCTGAGGATAGGGCAAGCCATATGTGTCATTTCCAACCCACTGTGTCCCCCATTTCCTGCCAGGGAGCCAACTTCGGACAGCCCCAGAAGCCCAGGTGTCCAGGTGGCTTAAGACTGAGGGGATGGACTGGGGCGCAATTATATCGGTAAAATGCTCCACCCTAGAATATAGAGCGAAGTTTTAATTTTTTCTCCCCATCCAAAACCCTGAAGCAATTGTAGAGGGAGATGAGAGGCCTCTTCAATCCATCCCAAATAAACATAAACTCTCAAGCAGTGTGCTTGCTCTGCAAATACAGCTCCCCTTAACATTGGACTGTCACCTCTTCCTATAAGTAATCCTGGAGTCTCCACGTTGCTTTGTGGAATAATAGAAACAGCAAAGAAGGAATATTGAGACATAGGTCAGATTTCTCCCAACTCATGTCATACCAGTTGTGACATAATTTATTCTGCACTTTTTAAAAATCAGTTCCCTTTACAGGCAGACAAGGAATTTCAGGTTAACTTCTAGAGGAAGAAAGGGGGAAAATGTGTCTTCCTCCTTTCCTTCCTTCCTTCTCTTTCAACAAATATTTATTGAATAGCATCATCTGATGTATTAAATACTGTCCCTAGCCACAGATTGAAGACTCCATGCTTTCCGAGTCTGAGATTTTCCTTTTATCTTTAGACAGATGAAGAGTTAAATATCCCAGAGAGCAGTAAGGAGAAGATTGGGTGGAGATGAGAGATGAATCAGCCTCTGACACCCCCAGGGTGACCTACCTGTCTGCTGCCCCCACAGACATTCCTAGATCCTGACTCAGTGGGTAGGTAGTGTTGGGGGGCAGTTCTGAGAGGAGGGTGATCTAGTCTGCAGAAACCTGCGTTCCTCACACCACACACACACAGCAGAGGTGGGGGGTGGGGTAGACCCTATAAACGGTGGAGAACTGAAAAGGAACAAAGGCCGTAACCAGGTTTAGGAAAACTTAACTTGGTGAACGAGCCAGGAAATTGGTCCACAACACAGTCTTTTCTCATTTAAGACAATTCCTTTCTGCCAAGCCCTGGGGTGGGGGTATGTTAGGCTGAGAGTAGAGTAAGAAGACGTTCTTGATTCTTAGAAAGTCCAAGATAGGAGCAGGGCAGCATAGCATAATGTGGTTCTTTTCAAACTTATTTTTAACTCATGAAACTCCAATATACAAAACAGACATATATGTGGCTATTTTAGCCAACGTGTGTAGAAATAGGGGAAACCCTGACCACTGGGCTCCTGCCCCATGGCAGCTTCTGGGGAACCCTCCGAACAGTTTGAAAACAGCTGCTGTAGTTTAAAAATCAGAGGCCGTGGAGTCAGACCCATTCCACTCCTTGGGGCATGTAAGTAGTTGTATAACCTCACTTATTAGGTTATTTAGCTGCTCTGAGCCTCAGTCTCGTCATATGCAAAACAAAGAGGATAATATGTATTGCAGTGAGGACTAAGGTATGAAACAGCCTGGCACATAGCAGCATGCCAGCTGCTATCGTTACTGTACTCTGTTCTCTAGGAAGAAGCAGGAAGGGTACTGTTGGTCAGAAGAGCAATTTTGGTGCAAGCCTCTGAAATCAGGCTGTCCTTTTCAGGCATTGCATATTTGGACATTGGATGCGTGTGTGTGTCTAGCAGTATCTTGCCTTTCTGGAAGGAGCCACAGTGGTCTGCCTGACCCCAATGCCTTGGCCTCCCTAGGGTTCTGAGAAGGCACCTTGCCCCAAGGCCTTGCCCTCCATCACCTACTCCTGTGGATCTACAGAGCCAATTTGGACTCTGCTCTCTTGAAGTAGCGACATATAAGAGAAAGAAGAAGATTTTTTTTCTCCAAAAAATTTTAGATTGCACATATTCCCCATACCACCCAAATTCTTGGGAGAGGAAGATCTTTGCAAGCCCTGGGCCTCCGTTTCCTGGGGGATAATCTGGCAGTGCAATAAGGATAGAGCTGGGCTTACTTGAATCTTTGTGAGTCCAATCTCTGTCTAGACACCCCTGCCTCATCCTAGAAGCAGCTGTATTTCCATTTCCACAATAGAGGACCTCACACTAAACCTGGTTGCCAGGCATTTGGAAAGATGTTTTTAAAACTAAGGGGCCGGGGCTGGCCCCATGACTGAGTGGTTAAGTTTGCGCGCTCCGCTGCAGGAGGCCCAGTGTTTCATTGGTTCGAATCCTCGGCGTGGACATGGCACTGCTCATCAAACCACGCTGAGGCAGCGTCCCACATGCCACAACTAGAAGGATCCACAACGAAGAATATATAACTATGTACCAGGGGGCTTTGGGGAGAAAAAGGAAAAAAATAAAATCTTTAAAAAAATAAAAATAAATGAAAATAAGGGGCCGGCCTGGTGGCGCACTGGTTAAGTTCACACGTTCCACTTCTCAGTGGTCCGGGGTTCGCCGTTTCGGATGCCGGATGTGGACATAGCACCACTTGGTCAAACCCATGCTGTGCTAGGCTTCCCACGTATAAAAAAAAGTAGAGGAAGATGGGCATGGATGTTAGCTCAGGGCCAGTTTTCCTCAGCAAAAAGAGGAGGATTGGCAGTAGTTAGCTCAGGGCTAATCTTCCTTAAAAAAAAAAAAGATTTAAATTGAGACATTCACATACCATAAAATTCATCCTTCTAAAGCGTACAGTTCAGTGGTTTTTTAGTATAGTCTCAAAGTTGTGTGACTATCACCACTATGTAAATCCAGAACATTTATCACCCCAAAAGAAATTCCATACCCATTAGCCGTAGGACTGAAAATTTTTAAATGTCAAATTTAGGCCAGGAAAAGATGGCAAAATTGCTCACTGAGACCCCATCCTAGTTAACAGTTAAAAGCTTTAGAGAGATTTATATATATATATATATATATATATATATATACATGATATATAGATATCTGATATATAAATCTGATATATCTGATATAGATATCTGATCATAGAAAAAAGTCTGGGACCTTTATGGTCAGGAGCTGGTGGCTAAGTCAGCTCACATCTAACCATCTGACTTGGTGATATGCCAGTCCACAGCATCTGCTTTTGAAATCTGTCAACACCAACATACAACCTCAGGGTAGCTCATTTCTTTCCCCATATAGGGCACCCATGGGTGGTGTAGAGGGAGTAGGCAAAAGTCAGAGGCTGAGAGAAAAGAAAGAAGTTCTTTTCCCAGGACCTACCCCATTAAGAGAAAGTCACCAGACCTGTCTGGTAAGAGAAACCGGGTCACTTCCAAAGCCGAGGGGAAGTCACTTGGCCTAGCCCAGAGTCTGCCTGGTTTGGAACCTTGAAACCCAACACCCCTCCAGGAAAGGAGAAGGGAAAACAGGGGACCCAAAGACATCAGAGTGGTCCTGCCCGCTTCCCCCACAGAATTAGTAGCTGTGATAAGAGCCCTTCAATGTTGAGTCCCTTGGGTGTGACCAAACTCGGACTCTGGGGAACATGATCAGGCTGGCCTGAGTTGCCAGGTGGAGGAGTCAGGCCAGTATTCTCAGGTGGCCTAGTGAGCACGCAGGTCAGCTTTGGCAGTAAAGCTGCTCCTCAGGACTTGGCCTGATTATTTTGCTTTTGACACGCAAATGCTGGATAAATCCTAGACTATTGATGCTGGCAGGATTAATAAAAGCTAACATGTATTCAACATGTACTATGGGTATTTATTTTCTCAAACTTCACAGCAACTCTTAAGAGGAAGGTACTGGTTTTTAATCTCCAGTTTACAAATGAGGACACAAAGTAAGCAAGGTTAAGAGCCTAGGCAGAGACAGGCTGAGAGTCAAACTCGGGCAGTCTTTTTTCTTTTTCTGATGAAGAGTCACCCTGAGCTAACATCTGTGCCAATATTCCTCTATTTTGTATGTGTGACACCGCCACAGCATGGCTGCTGACGAGTGGTGTAGGTCCCGGTACCAGGGAACCCAACCGGGGCCACTGAAGTGGAGCGCCCCACTTAACCACCAGGCCACGGCCGGCCCTAAACCCAGGCAGTCTTGACTCCACATTTTTCGTTCGAGAGCCTTTAGTCTAAGCTCCCTATGATACAGAAGGGGAAACTGAGGCGATATAATGGCTTTTCCAAGGTCGCACAGCCAGTCAGGGACACAAGCCAAGCTTCCTGGCCACCAGTCCAAGCTGCCTGGACTCCGAAGTGCGGTGGGGACGCCCTGG